ACCATTTTGGATCATGATGAATTAATCTGGATCTTTTTGCAGCATTTTCTAAAGTTGGACCGTAATCTACAAGTTTTCTTATTGCAAATACTCTGAATTTCGCATCTTTTTTAAATTGTGATTTGTTGTCAGGGTTTGGTCACGGGGCGTTGATAATCATTTGCAACAGTTTGTTTTGAAACACATAAAGTTTTGTACGTTAGGTTTTGCATACTGTTACCCAGGCTGTTAACGTATAAAGCAAAGCTGGCCGGATGAGGGTTAGACAGATCTTAGTTTTGATGTATAATTTTGAATTCTTGCTAAGTATCGGCATTAAGGCAATTTTTGCAGCATTTGCTTTTTGTAATGCATCGTCTGTTTATACTTTAAACAGCAGTTGTGGATCAAAATATATTCTGAGATATTTTAAACTTCAGGGAAAGGAATATCATTATCTTTATGTCGATGGAAACCGGAGTATTTTTTTTTATGCCACTGAAACAGCATAATATCGCATTTACTTGGATTTAATTTAGTTCGCCTCGTTTTGAATCATAGGAAGATGCCATTTCCATATCTAAGTAGCATCCGGAAATGGTATTTTTCTTAGTGAAAGCTTCAGCCATGAATTCAGTAACATTAATTATCTGATGAACTGTACTTGACCTGGTCGGAATCCATATTGCTCACAGTTGAGTAACTTATGTTTTTCAGTATGGCTGACAAGACATTTTTGAAACACTATTTCGAAACCTTTTGCCCATGTAAGGTAGTAAGCTGATAGGGGTTGGTAGGATAAAACATCTTTAGGGTTTTTTCCATGATCCATCCATTTAGAAAAGTAATTATTGTTGGGATAGTAATTAAGTCTAAGAGAGTTAGTGACTAAAACAACATATCTCCAAGGTAGTTCTTTAATAAGCTTTATTTGAGATGTGATCAAAGCCTTGTGGTTTTTCTATATTCAGGTTTTTGATGATTTTTTGCACTTCTAATGTCCCCATCAAGTGGGTAGGTCGATTACACCATTAGGTGGGAGAAACATAATTAATCCCAATGCATTCCGAAAGCTGAGCAAGGAATTCTTCGACTTATTTTTCTCTGTCAGGATCGAAACTGGGGCTTGCTTGAAATGTGTTTTCTACTGTGCCATAACTTTTTCTGCATAGACAGTATCTGTAGAAGTATTTAATGGTTCTATACTGGGAAGATTTGGGTTCCAGAGGGATTTTGCAATTTTCTATGTAAGATGTGGAATGTATTCTATGCTATCCAATAAATGATCCCGCTTGTCGGATCATTTATTAGATAGCATGGAATACATTCCACATAAATTCCATTAATCTGTCAAAAGTTGATTAATTTCTCTGATTTTTCTTTTTAGAATTCTTTTATCAGAAGGGTTCTCCAAGTTTTTGCTGCTCTATCTTTTTCTTTAATTTTGTTAAATATATAAATTGGCAAAGTATTGCGGGAATCATATGACTTTAATATTGTGGCATTATTAATAGCATTTCTGATAATAGTATTCCTTTTGTCAACTTCACCTTCAATTTCTATTATTCAGAGAGCCGATGATAGGCGTCAAGTTTCTAAATTAATTTCAAATTTACCCCAATTAATAATTTTACTTGAATCCGTGTACTGTAAATTTTACAGGTAGGTGATCTAAATTAAGTTCATCTAAAACTTCAAGATATGGGATTTGAAGTACACTTTTTGTAATAACTATGTCCAGTACTTCTGAGTACGAAGAAAAGTTCACGGTTTCTTTTTACGCAATGAGCCGCGAAAAGGTCGTTGAGAATACCGTACAGCCTTGTACGGTATTCTCAGGTTAGATTGTCATGAAGTGTGGCACGATGGAGAAGGTAGCATTGCAAGAATATTCTGCGCTGGCGACTTTACTCTTACAGAAGGTCAAGTAAAAGCAAACCGTAGATCTACACATTTTTTGCTTTTTACGATATTTTTTGTTTAATTTGGTCGAATATCCTGGTTCAATTAGTTATGAAGCATTTACAATATTTCGCGGCACCCCTGTGAAGAGGCCGTGACGCACAGTTTGGGAACCACTGTCCTAGGGTATGTTTATTTTGTGTTCTAGTTTTTCAAAAATTGGCTGCTACACCTGCATTGTATAGCCTTTGTTTAGAACACAAAGAAAGGTAGGGGTCAAGAAAAAAGAACAGTAAAATAAAGGCATTTTTCGTTATCCTAATCTAGACATGGATAAATTTAACGCTTAGTAATTTTTTAATTCAAAATCGCAGAAATTCTGGATAAACATTTGCAAAACACGAAAACATTTCAGTAGAAGATATCTACACAGTTCGTTATATCCGATTTTTATACATCTGGAGGTTCGCTATGGCTGTATAAAATAACATTACACATATAGGAAATTGGACAGGACCAAAAAGTTTATTTGTTATAACTGGGTTTGACTATATATATTATATAAATGTTTCTTAGCTAAATACTGTTAGTCACTGAAACACAATTTTAATTCCCCTAAATATATTTTAAGTATATCTTCAAACAGTAAACTTCCACTCTCACAGAAATCGTTTTACAATAGTGAACGCTATTGATTCCCATCCAATTTTAAATAAAACTTTTAAAAATTCAGATCTAGTTTTTGATTTCTATTTGTTCATTTTGAATGATGGCCCTTTGGCAGTGCAGAATACTTTTGGTTCTTTATGAAAAAAAATCGTATCGCTGCACTCTTTCAAAACCAATACTTTTCTATAAAACCAGTCACAATTTAGAACTGTTAGATTTAACATTGGCATGTATCTACTGAATATGATTTCATTTTGTACTGCAACACTAAGTGTTCACACACACTTTCAAGAAAAACGGAACATCATTGGAAAGCATCCTAAAATAAAGAACGTGAAAGAGATCATGCAAACAATGACAGGGTAGTTACTCTGTCGCTTGAATTTGTAGATCATGTTTATTATATATATTTAAGGAAGGAAAACATATATGAAAAGAATAGGAAGTTTATTCCAACTATTCAACAAGCTGTGACTTGACATAACTTAGCTTTAGGTGAAGGTATTTAATAATGTAATTTATGCTAGAAAGCTAAAACAATTAGTACAAAGTCCGAGATCCGGACGCATCGGGACTTCGATCATCAGTTTAAGTCTAGTAAGATGGCATGTAGAAATTATAAAATTAAAAATATGAAATCGTGATTTATGAAATAATGAAACATTTATGATCGAAAGGGTATCAAAATTTACAAAAATAAAAAAGTGCTTAGTACTTATTTGTTTACTTTATTAAACATTTCTTTCAATGCAAATTATTTCATTTTTTGTGCTAATACTTTATTTTTAATTTTATAGACAGACATAATTTCTTGTTCAGTTGCAAAGTTCCATTGTTAGATTTCTGTAATTGGTGTGTCGAGAATTTAGACTAACTTACTTGTCAACCGAAATTTTTCCGTTTTCAATAACCTCCCTTCCATTTTCTTCACTATTGATAGCGGTATTTTCTGGATCTACAGATTTCACTATCCGTTGATTGATTGAAGGCTGGGGCATTATCAGTGCAATGAAAAACTTCTGTTACCTCATCTTCCTTTATTACCGCTTCTCTTCATTTCTTTATAAATCCATTATTTGGAACATTTCACCTTTGGTTTGCAATATCCGAAAACCTTCAAATTCGTGGCTATCATCTTCATCATGGCCATAAATTATGACAAGCATTTTTAAAGTACCTGGAGACACATCCTCCCACGAGCTTGCAATGCTCCACACAGCAGATTTTATGTTAAAATATTTTTTAAATTCTTCAATAGTTCTGGCATTATGCATAGCTGTATGAGTCATTACTCAAGTTCTCATGTGTTGATAAACATGCGGTGATGAAAGAAAAATATAATGCACAATAAGTAATTTGCCAGGTTGGCTTAAGAGATATAAAATATTAGTAGGCATAAAATCAACGATGTTTCTATGCAGAGTGTTTCAGTTTGAGATGTATGCAACTAGATACGCAATCAAATTATTGATCACACAAATTTATGCTAAAACGGTTGTTTCTTCAATAATGAGGTATTTTATTATTTATTTAAAGCGTGGGAAAAAAAAAAAAAAAAAAATTGGTGGCTTTAAAGTCCGGATTTTAGATCATTACTGATTATAGATGTCCAGATCTCGGACTTTGTACTGTATTTCTCAAAATGGAAAAAACTGTCCTCTGGATTAGATTAAAAGTAGCAACATTAATTATTATAGAATAAACAACATTATAGCTAATTCATCTATTTCGCCCACCAGCGGCCGAGCGGTTGATTATTATACAGGTCGCTGAACACTGGTAGTTCGGTCCGAGGTTCGAATCCCGCGAACGGGCTGGCTGCATGGGCGTTTTTGTGGTTTTCCCCATGTGTAACGTGTATAGGAGCCACTTTCCCTTAGAAAGTCCTCCACGAAGGCATCCTTCTCCTTAGGCAGATAGCCCTAGTGTGCTTTGCCATAATTAACTACACCAACACCAACTAACAATTTCACGTTACTATATACAGGAAAAAATTGCATTTTGGACTTTCTTCTCTCAAATATCATATCTAGTAGTAAGAGATTGTAGCGTTAAATGGGTGGGGGGAGTTACAAATTGTTAAAGTATACAGTAATTATGATTTCGTTAATTTTTCATCCTAACATTAATGAGCCATTAAAGTTTTACTGCATAAATTATTTCCATTAATTAATACATCATTGTTGCTATTGTAATACAATAAACTCTAAAGTGATCTTTACAACTGGTCTCCTTTTTGTCTGTGCACATATAATTATGGTTTCTGCAGTTGTCAGTACACATGGAGCATCAGGTCACCTTATCCGTGACTGTAATGTTAATATACAATACCCATTGAATATGAAGACTGAATTATCTATTTATTTATTATTTACATAAATTTGCCATTAATTAGCATGTTAGCTGATACTTCTAAATATGTGCTGCTATTGAGAAAAAGAAAGAGACAATTTGAAGTGTGAAAAAGTAACATTTTATTTAAGTACACAAGTTTCACACCAAGATGTATAATTTATTTGAACTTCAAAATACATTTGTTCAGGGATATTTAAAATTTGAATAATAAAATATATGGGTATAGTTTAGCATGGAACTCTGCACTCACTTTGGGAAAACTTCTGACATAGGGAAAACCAATCATACAGTTCCTATCTTACGCAACAAATTTGAGCTTGTATATACATTTTACTACGTGTTTAGAATATCTGCTGTACATTCGATAACTTTCCATAACATTTTATATTGTTACATTTACATATTATGGCATTGAGACTGAACTCGAAGTATAATTGAAAACAATTGGCCACATAGATATCATTCCTGTTAAGGCAACAGTATATAAGCATCTTCATAAAATTATTCTTAACAGCACATCTACAACTTCCACACAATACTGTGAGCAAATTAAAACTGTGCCCTGCTAAACCGCATCAAAACTGAAAGGCCTAAAATTACTACATTTTATTTATTTAATCTTGCTATGAAAATAATTATTATAATCCTTTCAGAATGTGCATTTGCAGTGCATGCTCACATTTACTTATGTCATTATATGACAATGCATACGATAAGAATGAAGGCATGAGGTGCATAGAATGAAGTTATTGCAATATTTTTAATGATTTGAACCAAATAAAATTCCAGATTTAGGGTAAAACATTGCATTGCATTTAAGTTATACTAGGAGAGGAAATTACTTTCAGAAAAGCGTTCATCCATATTTTTATGTAGATTTATTAAACATGCCTAATTAGAAATTCTTAGCAAAAATGATAATAAATATGAATTCCATTAATATGAATCAATTCACCTCTAGCAATTAAATCACAAATGAAAGCATGATAAGGGCCTTTTCTGGTACATTATAAAAAAACTAAGATATTTTACTTAAAGTGCAGCATTGCAAGTGTCACATTCAATTTATATTTTAAGTAAAAGATTTTTAAGAATTTGCATTAACAATGACTGTTTCCACATGAATAAATTATACTACTACTGTGGCCAATAATTCATAAAAAATAGTAACATATGACAGCAGATTGTGAGTGCACTGCAAAATATAGTTATCCTAGAAGAAATAATCAGTCAAAAAATAAAAGATATAAATATTAAATAATATAGCTTAGTAACAGAAATTAAATATTTAAAATAGATTTTAAAAGAATACATGCCCAATAACTTATGGCTTTTAGCCCTATAGCAATAATATATAATACTAATACTACAAAATAATAATGCAAAGTAAATACTTGAAAGCACAGTATTTCCTTGATGTATTGTAAAAGAGCTAAGATAACATTTAAGATAAACTATTACAGTTTTGAAAGACTTAGTGGAAATATATAAAAAGGCCTATAAAAAATAAAAACTTTAAAATTAAGCAAAATTGAATATTCCACATTTTTCACCAATCCTTGTGTAACAGAAAAGGTGCACAATGCTCTTTTACAAAACCTCAAAGCTGGTTATATTTTTACCTAAAAACAACTTTACAGAATCACCTTTAAGGATAAAATAAATAAAAAATATAAATAAAAACTCAAATTTCAGTTAACAAAACAAACAAATATTAAAACAAGCTGCATAACTCACACTGTCAACAAATAAGGTCTTTTATAAAGAAAAAAGAAAAGACATTAAAAAACTGAAGAAAAATAAATTAAGGTCTATACCTTATTTTATGCCATAAGAGGAAATAACAATTAAAAAATCATACAATAAAGTATCAATAAAGGCAGTGCCAACCCATTACTTTATAAAGAATATATCTATCTCTATTTACACTTAAATTAAGAGAAATACTTTAAAAATTCTTATCTCATATAATGCATAGCCAGATACGATAACATATTCAATTAATGATATATATATATATATATCTGTTTTCTATTATTTATAATTGCAAATACTGATTGAATAGATATCATTGAATATGCTTCACTAATACATTTTGTATTAACATGAGATTCATATTAGAAAAAGTTATGGATCCGGTCGATGCACCTGAACCACACATTTCATTTTCTATGCAAGGAAGATAAACAAATGCTGGAAAATAATTCATGAATAAATTTTGATATGCTTAGTTAAATTTTTTATATTTGTTTAAATATCTTGAAAAACAAAACCAAATTACTTAATCTAATGACTCAAGGTCTACAAATCAAAGTAAATTAAAGCTACACTTCTTAAAATACATTTTACTTTTGTGTTTATTTCATATAAAAATGTTCCACCTCTAATATATGTTAAACTTTTTGTTAACAAAAATTATATGTAACAAGTGGTTACTTTAGATGCATCATAAAAGGAAGGATGTACACTAAAATTACAACATTTCACCTGTGATATGCAAAATTTATGTACTATAGAAGCATAAAAATTGATATCTGCTGCATGTGACTGTTTACAAATATCAACAGAAAATTTTATTTTATGCAAAATGCAAGCTTTAATAAATCAATTACTTCACAGTTGCATATGACAATTACACATATCATTTATCTAGCTAATCCAAATCTATTTAGTAGAAATAAAGGCAAGAGGAAAATTGTAACACAAAATTTAAATCATAAGTATTTCTCATTACAGAGGTGGAATATTTTACACATTTTGCAATTTTAAAAAATCCCATCAACTCTTAAAAAACATAATAGACATGTGTTGTTCATTCTCAGATTATATATTATCTGATACAAAAATAATAATATGAAAACACCACAAAATACTCTACCATTAAAATATCAAATGACTATATGCAGTTGCCAGCAATCTTTTCATACTTTTCTTTTTCAATTCTGAGTAATTAACTTTTAAATGCAAAAAGATTATAATACAAGCTTTTTAAAATTATTCAACTTATTACAACAGACTTGGATTAGCACACAGATGTACACTTCTCAAGCAATTTCAATGGCAAGTTATAACTAAGTGATCTTACAGAAACAACAGTTTCATCAGGACAAGTAACAATAACTATATTTTCATACTATTACAGAAGAACATGAAATACTGAACTTACATAAAACATCAGAATAACACTAAAACTGTTCAGTTATATAAAACATTGCCATAACAACATTAATGTTATGATTTAGTTCAAGTAAACAAATAATATATATATATGTATATATATATTTGCTGTCTTTGTTACATAAATAATTTTAAAGATTTTAAAAGCAGTAACATATGCTGATTTCTACAAGTACAGGAGACAACAGATATCAAATCTGGAGTACGGTTATATATTTCAAGGGTGGTGCTTCACCATTTGGTGTTGTAAAAATATAAGTAAACCAAAATATAAGTTCATGCAATTATTATTTATATGAAAACATTACCAATGTGAGCTTAAAATCTACCTTGTGAAAAGTGACAAGCAAAAAATATACGTGAAGGATGCCATTAATTTTGTATTACGATACGAGAGGTTAATGTTTTAGGAAGAGTATTTTAAAAATAGGCTCTGTTAAACATCAGATGTTCGCTCGTTGTAATGAAGTCGTATTATAAGAATAAAAATATCAAGAATATCAGATAGCATAGAAACATTAGAAATTACTTTGAAAGAAAGTTTACAAGTGTTTATATTGTGAGCCTAAAAAGTGAAAAATCCACTGAAACGTTTACTTTGACAATCTGGCCAGCAATAAATGATAATCTTATTTTTTAAGGGCAGTGATGTCAAAAAGAATAGCTCTCATTAAATTAAATGAATTTCAAATTCAACAAAGAAATATGCACTTAAATTTACTTGGAACTCCCCCCCCCAATTACAAACATATTAATTTAAGCGCGAAGGAATAAATTACTTACTTCTTAGAAACTATTATGTTAAGTTATTACAATACATATGAATTAAACTGTTTAAAACTAATCACAGTAAGAATTTAAGCTGATCTTTTCCAATGCACTTTGTCAAGCATAATCCAACTACAGATCACAAATTAATAATTGCACTATTTCTTGTATTCTGTAACCATAATGAAAGAAAACATTACATTTTTTTTTGTCATGATATCGGTATGATATGCAAAGAATATAATAATATATATATATATAATATAATTTAATATTATTTTAGAATATAATTTTACAGATTTATCAAAAATTAATATTAATTCAGATATATTGCAGTTTGCATGATATAAATGTAATACAGTTTAGTAGTAGAAAATTCTAAAGCATTGAAAATTACTCTCAGAAGAGAAAATTTTATATATGATGTAGTTAATTTGAAAATATGTTTTAATTTTATTTTTGACATCACTGACCATATAAATTAATTATCATCGATTACAACAGGACTACAAGGCCAGAGTTAACGAAATCAGCTTCAATATATTTTATATGAGTAAACCAAGAAGTATTTCTGCAAGTCACAAAAGCCTTTAACTGTGTATGTCTAAAGCAATTGGGCAGTGTATATATGCTACTGCTCACAGTTCAAGCCAAACATGAGCTCCTATACAGTCTCTAACAAATGTTTAAGTCATAACAACTACTGTAAAATTTCTTCAAGCAGTCACTGAGCATCATAGTTCATACATCAATCTAGCATCCAGACAGCACGTGGATGGGAGAATTGCATATAGTTACTAATAATAGTCCACCACATGTAATGGCAAGCTACTTATTGCAAACATTTAAGGGACACACAATGTAGATGCAATGATGAATATGTAGATCATATACACCACAGAATGATTGCTTATGTTCAGGTATATAAATCACAATGAGAAAGTACCTTTGTCAACAGCTAACAAGCAAAAATCACAATATACAAATCAAGTAAGCAAAGCATGCTTTCTGATTTTGCCTCAGAGTATGATCAAAACTTTCACATGGAAGAACGGTTTAAATATTTGTGATGCTATACTCTCACACAATTTACAGTTCACATCTATAATCAAGTCTATAATCATGAATATTTTAATATAACAGAAAACCACTACTCTGTTGATGATGTACACTTAAACATTAGCTTTATAAATTTTAATAATTTGTTTCACAATAAAACGAAAAGTATTACATATTAAAAAAAGGGGGAGATAAATTTGAACTCAGAAAATATAAATGTTATAACTAATCTCATACATAAAATAAATTTTAAATGTTTTCAAGGAGTTGAAAATACAGTACAATTATTCTCTCTGTGTAAAGCTTCTAACTGCAAATTTTTATTACAGATATTTTTTTCTGATAATTACTTATTTTACACTTTTGTATTTTCCCCTTTAGCCATAAGGATATGTGATGAATTTTAAAAAAATGGTTTCATTTCAAAAATAGCTCACATGAAGTTATTGTGAAAGATATGATTATACTCATGCAGCTTTTGAAAGCACTTAAAATATATATCAGAGCATACTTTTTCTAGTAACAACATTTTATTAACGTTGCAATTTATTACTTTCTAGAATAATAAAATTCATAATACCACAGAGATCTGATGACGAAGCAAATAAAAAATGTAAGCTATAACAAAATATAAATTTAAGAAAAGCTCTTTGTGCAAACAAATGGAAGACTTAAACATAAAAATATATAGTTCACACAAATAACATTACATTTAAAACTATAATGCATAAAATAAATTGATAATATCTTTAGACCTAATATTTATCATTTCAGAATTAACCTATACTAACTAAAACTAAATCAATAAAATTTATGTTAGATACATTTCAAAACAGCAAAACATGAAAAATAGGAATAACTGTATGATGCCTAAAGAACAATCAGCATTTCATACAGATCACGAATTGAATATGCCATTAGAGAAAACACTATAAACGTCTAATATATATATATAATATATATGTATGTATATATATAGATGTTTCTAAAAAAACATTTTCAAGACTAAACACATATTCATATATTTATGGAACAAAGTGTGCGGTTTATTTAATCAAACTATAATAAATTCTGTACACTTTTTATGACAGGATAATGCATAGCCAGTTGGTAACATTTCCTTTGAAATTCTAAATACAAATTTTATGTCAAAGAATAAAATATGTATATTTTAATACTATTTCACACAATATATCAGGTGAGCAGAGATTCTACATATTTAAGTAGTGTGTTTTCCAGCCGCTCATTCTTGAAAGAAGCAAAAGAGAAATCGGTGGGCAAGGATGAGAAAGAAAAGTCTAGATAAAATTAAAAGTGCCAAGTGCTATCAGAATGTTTATGCTTTTTTTTTTTTTTTCCCTCATTTCCTAACTTTATCGTAAACTAATTTGTACGTTGAACAGATCTTATATCAGCACTAGGCTCAGTCATTTCACATTAATTCCCCCACCCACGACTACACAAGCTCCAAAAGCTTTAATTTTAGGAGTAGATGCGAATTGCTTGGTGAGCCTGCTGCCTGCAGATGGGACACTCTGGCTCTGCCTTCTCGCATATGCGATTGGCACATTCTAAGCAAAACATATTATGCCCACATGGTACAAGTGCAGCTACAATTTCACTTTCAAAACAAACAGCACAGTCTCTTTTGGATTTCCTCAATGAAGAAGAAATAGAATCTGTCGGGCTTGTAGCTGAATTAGAAGTACCAGTACAAGATGTAGCGGTAAAGCAATTGGCAATAGTGGAAACTGTGCTAACGGCAGTAATAGGTGGAAAATTGGCCAAAGTGTCCACCAGAGGGTCACTTCGAATTCGCCTTGCAGGTGGATGATCTAAAAGAAGAGGATCGGAAATTCCTGAATCAGCACTTCCTAAGCTGTTGCTCCTTCGAGGTACAGCCGATGGTGCTGTAGAAGTTGTAGTCGTTCCAAAAAGAGGTGACATTGTGCTTTGAACAGGACCAAAATCAGACCATACATTACTTGTACTAGGAAAAACTGCTTGCTCAAATGTTGGAGAATCTCCTAGACCCTCATCAACATCATACAGCCCAAAACTAGTAGAGAAACCATTTGGAAAACCAGGAGTACAAGAATATATATCAGTCATTTTAGGGGAGCCACCATCAGCAGAAATGGCATGGGATGGAAAAGTAAATATGTCCTGTGTACGAGAAGTTAAAATATTATTGCTGTCACGGGATAATGATGCATTTGCATTGCCAAAATCAGACTTATACAGAGAATTAACATAATTTGTAGTTGCCACAGTAGCTGCAGTAAAAACTCTTTCTATACCATTAACATGGAAGTCATCATCTTCTGAAGCTGAATTATTTCCAGAACTACCACCATTTGTTGTTGATGAATCTGGTAATCCTCCAGTTCTCATTGCAATGTGAGCTTCAATTTCTTTTCGAGCAGTTTCCACATTATCAGGAAGACCCGTAACTTCAAACACTGGTTCTTTTTCTCTGCTCGGTGTAACAATGTAAGTGTTAGTTTGCTGCTGAATTCGTTTTATGGTGGCTCCTTTGGGTCCAACAACAAGGCCTACAACTCGATATGGTACCCTTACTTGAATAGTTGTCTGACCTGGAATGCTAGAATTTGGTCCGGGAGCTAAAGATCCATTCATGTTATTTTTACGTTGGGCCCTAATCTGACTAAAATGTTCAGCAGCAGATAAAATTTCCCTTTTCGCTGCGCTTACATCTTCTTTTCTTCCAGTCACAACGAACACCGGTTCTTCACCCCGAACAGGAGTTTTGATATAAGTATTAGTTTTAGCTCGTAAAGCCTTAATCTTGCATCCTAAAAGAAAAGAAAGAAAAAATTATTTAACTATAAAACATTAAATTAAAAATTTATGATGGGAGGGAAAAAAGGGGGGAAGGAAAAAAATTAAATTTGCTTTATTTTTTGTAATGTCTTACTGTTAAAAAAAAAAAGTTCACTTTAATCTCAATTTTGAACACAGAAAACATAATTCCTTTTTTCTCTAGAACTTTGCCAGTAATTTCAATAGTTCATTTAACATACTAGTCACGAACAGATACAGAAATCCTACCATATTGTATTTTTTTGTGCATGAGTGTTGTTTTGTTGTTTTTTGTATGAGAGTGCACATAGTTCTGTGTTTTTATAATTGTAATTTTAAATATATCGTAGCATATAAAGTGTTTCAGAATATCAACTAAATGAGATTTACTAAGACATCTATCAAATGAAAACAAAAAGATTTTATCAAGAGCAATGAAAACGTAAATAACAGAAAAATTACAGGAATGACCCTGAAATATTTTTATGTGATGACAACCTTCATAATGGTGACAGGATAACTGCTGCATGAGAACATTCGATCTTCTAAAGTCGGAGGAGGAAAGGCTATAAAAAACTAAACAGAATCTAAACCAAGTACAATGCATTTCTGATAGAAGTCAAATCTTTCTGAAAATAACTTACAGTCATATGATTAATGAAGCTGCAAAATATGCTAATAAATATGCCACACATTCATTAAGATTAAAGCTACTGCTTACTTATGCAAAACATGTATTAAATTAATGTTAATTAAATTTCATAAAATTCAACTTAAATTCAGATGTTATTTTTATTAAAAAAATGTATCAAAAGTAATTTTAGTCCTTTTGCAACAGAATACAATTTTACACAAAAAGGACTATTACAAAATTAATTACTTACATTTAAAAATGAACAATAAATTTGACTAAAATGTCTTACATGATGAATACACACTTTTGTATATATTATGAAAGATATAAACATTAGTATTCATGCAACAAAACTAACTTAATTCACAGCACACTAAATTTATTCATGACTAATATGAATTATTATTCTTAACAAAATAGGTTTTATATCATAGCTTTCCAATGTGAGCACTGAGAAAATTTAGACGGCATCCAGAAAATATAAATGAACAATAAATATATGCTTGAAAAATCTGGCCTTCTCTCAATGTATTTAAAATCCACTTAGTAACACAAGTCAGTCTAAAAACATGACCACAAATCCACATTTGCAATGATATCTGGTACACAGAAGTAACATTTTCTTTCAATATTAATTAAGCATATTGGGTCTGAAATTTGTAGGAGTTATGTCAGTTCATTGCTATAAATACACTGGTTCTCATTAAGGAAAAATTACAAAAATGACGGTTACTCAAAAAATTAGATGTAGAATTTAATGAAACTGAACCACAATATACAACACATAGTAACATATAAAGTAACATAAACAGAAATTACCACATAATTACGATGTTACAGAAATTAACATATGCATAAAATGAACAAATTGGATGTATCAAGTCTGGTACAGGACAATTATCTTCAAAATGAAGTTTGATCCCCCCTAGAAGCACATAGAGCGATGTTAATTATGTGATCTATCAGTTCCGTATGAAGTGAGAGCAGCTATATACCTTCCTAAAGATGCTCAACAGGATTCAAGTTTGGTGATCGAGTTGGCCACTCCATGCATGGAATTGTTTGCTGCTGAAGGTAATCAATCATGCACTAACTTTGTGTGGCCTAGCACTGTTGTCCTGTAGCAGAAAATCACCACCTATTGCCCTGGCATAAAGGTGTTAAGGTTGTCATCTGTATAGGCCTGATTCATGGTTGTATGTGGAAAGACATGGAGATGCTAACACATTCCATGTTCTCTCCAAATCAAATAACACCTACTACTGTTTTGGAGGCTAACATCGACTCATTCATAAAGAAAACAGCCCCCCCTCTGATCAGCCCTCCATTGGATCTGTTGACATGCTCACCTCAAATGTTCTGTTCTGTGGCCATGACGTGAGTGGCACACAAATGGTTGGTTGCATCACGTACAGACCTCCTTTGTGAAGCCACGTATGCACAGATGGCATTGACACTAACCTTCTGGTGGCTGCAGCAAGGGAGGATCTGAGCTGAGATGCAGTTCTATTCCTTTGTGTGCATAACAAAGATCAATCGTCAGTGCTTAACATAGCAGTTAGTCAACCTTGGCTGAACCTCTTCTTTGCCAAGTCTGTGGTTAGATATTGTTGTTGAAGTTCTATAAATCACAAGAGGGCACACAATTAGCCATCTGTCCACTCTGTCCACACCTAGTCTCCCAATAGCTAGCTCTCCATCGCAGTTCTTTGGGCATATGATGCCTGGAGATCATTGTTACAAATTGGCTATCCCAGATTTCTTACCTCAGTTTCACAATGAAATTTACAGTTTTTCTCTCAAACATGCAATTTTATGCTTCTTGCAGATGATGCATTCCGACTGCAACACTGCTACTTTGCATACTGCAGTTTTACTCAGCAACTTTTATTTAACATATTCATATTTCATATGGACTGGCTTATTTTTGGATAGGTTATTGCTATTTTTGTGATTTTCCCTTAATTTTTGGAAACCAATGTATTTTAAGAAGTAATTTAATCATTACTGTTTATTTCTACATTATATCATGAATTTCAATATGACATGCAAATGCAACAAATATTAAAAAATTAATATGTTTTCCACCAGTGATACAAATCACATTCAAAAAGCATATAATAAAGAATTGCTGTCACAATAGCACAGGCACTCAGCAGGAAAACGAAAAAGTGAGGTAGCGAGCAAAAGAAGCTGGGAAACAATTGTGCTATGTGAAAGAAATAAAACAATACATTATTAGTCAAATATTCTATAAGCAAGTAAGTTAAACCAGTACTAATTACATTGCTTAGTAAAAATCATAATGTTATGATTATTAAAGTTTTATATTTTGAGCTTTACAATAATATTATTTCTTAACTTGTTACTCATATGTATAATCTCTAACCCTCAATAAATTACATCAAAACCGGAGTAATATGGCCAAAAACTGCACTGATAATAGCCTAACACATATGCCCCAGGTGAATTTACGATGGAGTAATAAATCATTGCTGTGAAGACTACAAAGTTTAAAATTAAAATAATAATACAATGTATGGCAGTGCTTGACTGATTATATATTTTTAATAAAAGACATGCCATTTCAGTTGTCATCACAAGACAGGGTTCATACATATTTCTGCACATAAAAATTCAGTACTTTTAAGACCAAACAACAACAACAACAACAACAACAAAAAAAATAATAATAATAATAAAAACCTATCAGCAAATAGAAAAATGAATTAATCAAAGCAATTATCAATGCTCAAATTTCACTTGTGCAATATTATGTAATCAATATCTTCCTTAATAAATTTTCTTTCCTTTTTCATATTTTCAAATTTAATTATAGATTTCTGTTAATCTAAAGAACTGCATGTATTTAGAATGCATAGAAGAGACAGCACTATGAAATGATATATGTCAGGGCCAGTGCCAGCATTGTAGAATTTTCAGAATTTAGAGAAACACCAAGCAAAAAAAATTTTAGGGATGGTAACATTTTTAGAACTTGGGGCACACAGAGATTGCACAAAGTGGTAAAAAGTCTACTGCTAGATCTGTGTATACTGCAGCGGTCCTCAATCTTTTGACTAAAGCGTACCATCTAAACAAAAATTCAAAAGCTTCATTACCACCACTACAAAGTATTACTACCACCACAACTCTTGAACAAAACTCAGATCGCAAAAATTTACAATCTGAGTGTTAGAGAAAAACCTCACTCAAGACGCTGGGGTTTTTGAATTTAATAGTTAAAAATACTTTGCTTCTTTGTGTACCACCTATTTTTTTCCTGCATACCACCAGTTGAGAATCCCTGGTATACTGAAACATATAAGATGAATCTTTTAAACTGCCAATTCTCAATTTCTGTATTAATAGAAAAATTCCTTTCTACAGATAGGTACATGTGGCAAGATTAGAAACATTTTAAGAGACAACTTCCAGGATCAAAAGCAGAAAATGCAAATAATTTTGTTTTCACTGTTCTAAAAATTCTCAAAAAGAATAAAAAATTCAACAGAAACTTCCTGTAAAACATAACCACATGTTAGTACCATAAAGACATTTTGCATTTAGAATTTTTTAGATTGTAAATCATGCCTTCAGATTTAAACTTTCAGAGAGCCAAGGAATACGATTTGAAAGGAATATTATCTCTACCAACTCCATAAAAACAAAAAGCCAGAAGACTTTTGAAGAAAAATTCAGTGTGAGTGTAAAGTGACTTTTACGGCACAGACCAATACACATTTGAATATTTTGATATAATTACACATTAAAAAAAGCTCTTCATCATGAAAAAATATAAAGAAAACAAATCAAATTCTTTTTTAAATAATCAAAGTAGCTTTTTTGCTTTCACTAAGAAAAGAATATACATTTAAAAAAAAAAAAAAAAACACTAAATCATGAAAAAATATAACAGACAAATCAAATTAATTTTTAAATAATTACAGTAGCTTTTTTGCTTTCACAAAGAAAAGAAAGAAGAGTTTCGGAAACTGTGCTTTACAGCATTTATTATCTTGTTTATTTTTCAGAATCAAATTATTCCTCAGCTGGCAAAATTGAAAGTAATTAACCCTTTGCACTATAGCTTAGTGACTTAGTACACCAGCAACTCCAGCAATAATTAGTAATAAGTGTACACTGCAAAAAAAAAGAGGGGGAGAGGGGCAGTTCTGTATCTCCCGTTCTACTGGGCCAATTGACGAAATTCAAATTGTGTTTTCCATGTCATGCAAGTGCAACTTAGGATATATATTAGATTTATATATAGCTTTGTTCTAACATAGGTATTTTGACACAAAATCAGACTTTTTCTGAAATGACATAACATTTTCCCCCATATTTCAATTCTACGAT